ATGAAAACCTTTCCGACACTCCGCGTGCACCTGTCTGTTGCGGAGCTCACGGAGACGTGTAAATCAGGCTCACGTCCAACAGACCGGACTGGAGAATGTGAAGCTGCAAGTGGAATATTCTGGCCACAGGGGGCGATAGCAGAAAGCTTGGGACAGTTTCAGGTTGTAGTGTGAAGAAAATAGTTTGTTTTACTTTTAAGTTTTTGTCGCCAACAATAGATTTAAAAGTTGCTGGGGTAGAAAGTTTAAAAAAAACTACTTCTGCAAACTGGTTTTGATTTTATTTCTCAACGGAGATATGTCACATGTTTTGTACATCTAAAGGTTGTTTTCTCTACTTTCTTTTCATCATAAATGATTTTTCTAAATAAAGTTCTGCTAATTTAGGCTTGATTGCATAAAAATAAAAAACAAAGTAAAGAAGATAAAAAATAAACTAACCTCAATCCTCATGAGTCTCAGGACCTCTTTTTGAGCCTCCTCAAACAGGGAAGCGCAGGATCGACTTGGAATTGGGGAGAAAATGTTGTCCACAGCCGATTCTTCCTCAGGATAAAGGTAGATGCCGGAAGGAACCTCATCCACAGTCACCCTCCTTTCACGCTGCTCCTGGGACACAGACTGCAACAACAACCACACTCATTCAGTTTAAAACATCTGATTAAAAACTCCTGATACAGCTCTTCTCAATTACAGGACTACATAATAATACAACGTTCATTACTTCTTATTTGGACCTAAACGTGTACCGACCCGAGTGTAGTTGGGCGGGGTGTTGCCTTCCTCAGCGGAGACAGAAATCCGTCCTCTCTCATAGGCCATGTCAAAATCTGATCTCACACTCTTCTGTATACCTGTATGAAAAACAAATAGAAATTAATTATTTAGCCTTAAATTAATGGGCATTCTTTTTGTTTTTTTATGCTAAATAATTAGAAAAAGGGTGAATTGTTCTGTGTTCTCTAACCAGAAATGTCCACAGGCATGGAGATTGTCCTACTAAGATTTGGCACTCCTACCTCCTTCCCTTGCTCTCCTGCATATAGACAACAGCAATAGTTAGGTCATAGACACGTGTGCACAGAGCAGCATTTTGATCAGAAGTATCATGTCATTTTGACCCTTGCATGGCGTCTTTTCAGAAATAAAACACATTTCTACATCTTCATGAAATAGAAACACATGTATAAAGGAACTAATTAAGTTATTATACTAAACGGAGGTAAAGCTCTATCCAAATTTGGATCTGTAATATAACTTATCAACCCTAACCCTAACCAGGACAGAAGGTGTTGGATAAATTATGGATACATTGTGTATGATTTTAAACGAAATTACATCCAGCCCACTTTCCCCTGGCAACAGACAGGCGTTTGACCTTGCTTCTTCCCAGTCCTAGCTTATCAGTAAGAATGCCCTGTGCCAGCGCATGCTTGCCTCCCTAAATGTGTGTGCGTTTTATCAATTTTGTGTCTTTTAATAAATACTCTTGAGAGGGCTTTTGTCCGACGAGAGCAAAGAGACCACCGACTCATGTGTATCATTTTATCTCTCTCTCTACTTTGCAAAGTCTAAATGGTTTATTGTTAATAAGATTAGTATGGGTTAAAGTGATCAGCTTGACAATAAAACCCCTACGTGGTGAGCTTTCCCTTCAGGTAACCCTGGATGGGAAAATGAAAATACCTAATGAAAATACCTAACAGAAGGGTTCTTATTCCTTGAATTAACTTTATTTATAGGGTCAAATGCAACAAGTAGATTACAAAAAGCCGAGTTAGGAGATTATGTGTGTGTGTGTATATATATATATATATATATATATATATATATATATATATATATGTATCAGGGTATATACAGCAATCCTTAAGTAAAATTTACTACTTTTTAATACTTTTTTTTACTACCTTCAGAATTTTTTTAAAACCATCACAACACTAAATTGCAAGTGTTAATCAGCGACCTATTTACACATATTTTAACATATATAACATACAAAAAGAATAGACTTAGAGACTCACTGATGTTGACAATGTATTGCACATATTTATTTTACTTAGAAAATAAGCCAGGCACTTCTGTTCAGAGGTTCAGACAGTTGACCACGAGGCCTGAAATGATGCAGAACGACCACTTAATATGACGTCATCATTATGTGACCGGATATGCTAAAGTAGGGCTGCTCGATTATGGCAAAAACAATAATCACGATTATTGTGACTGAAATTGAGATCTCGATTATTTAATACGATTTTTCAATTTATGTAGATTTTTTTGTTGTTGTTTTTATTCAGTCATAAAATTGCTCAGGGCACAATCAGGGCAAAAATAAACAAAAAACAAGATGATCACTAAAATAACTCCTGATTCCCAAAAGACCAATATACTTGCAGCTCATAGTTTATGACCCAAGGGCTGTAGACCTTGGTTTAACTCATGTAAGTCTAACCAGTACAGACCCAAATATCAATATCTTGCAAATACTGACAGCAAGAATTATACAGTGGCATTTCTAACAAATAAATGTAAATAAATTGATGTTCACTAAATTTTGCATAACATTTATTTAGTCGTGTCAAGGTGCTGTAGGAGAATACACTAGCACCGTGTCCTCAGAGAGATTAGTTATTATTTATCAGCGTGAGGAACTTATTTCTACCTTATTTATAAACTATTTATTTACAGGTCCATCAGTTAAGGTAATAATTGTCCCAACCACAGCTGCACCCCCACCCCCCAACCCGGTCTCACAGCAATCAGGGGCAAGCTGCATGTGTGTTTAGCGCGCCGCACACGCACATTAGCCGTTTTTATCGGCTCAGGAGCCCGCAGGTTCGGTGTGTGTGTCACTCACTCTGGTTAATCCAACAGGGAGCTGGCTCTGAGAGCTGTTTCTTTAGCGACTGACACATCACTACATCATTCCCTTTCCTAATGTCCTGAAGAACGGTCCGGAGCGCAGGCGGAGTGTTTAGCTAACCTGCAGGAAATGTCAACGACAGTTATCCAGAAAGTAGCTAAGGGTTACCAGAGATGTTTCTGAGGTGTTCGCTAGGTAGTAGGTACTTTTAAGATTTGAAAAGTCAAGAAGGGGGTCTGAAAAGCTGCTAGAAATAGCGTCAAAGTCGCCAAGTTGGCAACACTGTGAGGAGCGCTTCATTTTTAACTCAGGGCAGCGCAAGTGGGAGGAGCAAATAATCGGCTTGTTTTGTTTTTATAATCGTTCAAAACATTTCATTCGGAATATATTTCTATGTCGATGTTCAGAATACAACACCTGAAAGTCTGAAAAAAATAATACCTAATTTGGAAAAAATAATACCTCTGAGACCAAATTTAACACTTTTAATGGCCTTAAATTTGACTATTTTTATTTATCACTTTTTAATACTTTTTAAAACCCCGCGGACACCCTGTGTATATATATATATATGGACAAAGATAAGACCTTCTGGAGGAAAGTTCTGTGGTCAGACGAAACAAAAATCGAGCTTTTTGGCCACAATGCCCAGCAATATGTTTGGAGGAGAAAAGGTGAGGCCTTTAACCCCAAGAACACCATGCCTACAGTCAAGCATGGTGGTAGGAATATTATGCTGTGGGGCTGTTTTGCTGCCAATGGAACTGGTGCTTTACAGAGAGTAAATGGGATAATGAAGAAGGAGGATTACCTTCACATTCTTCAACATAACCTAAAATCATCAGTACGAAGGTTGGGTCTTGGGCGCAGTTGGGTGTTCCAACAGGACAATGACCCCAAACACACATCAAAAGTGGTAAAGGAATGGCTAAATCAGGCTAGAATAAGGGTTTTAGAATGGCCTTCCCAAAGTCCTGACTTAAACCCCATTGAAAACATGTGGACAGTGCTGAAGAAACAAGTCCATGTCAGAAAGCCATCAAATTTAACTGAACTTCACCAATTCTGTCAAGAGGAGTGGTCAAAGATTCTACCAGAAGCTTGCCAGAAGCTTGTGGATGGCTACCAAAAGCGCCTAATTGAAGTGAAAATGGCTAAGGGACATGTAACCAAATATTAGCACTGCTGTATGCATATTTACATACCGACTCAGTGGCCTAGCGGTAGAGTGTCCGCCCTGAGATCGGGAGATCAGGGGTTCGACTCCTGGTCGGGTCATACCAAAGACTTTGAAAAAATGGGACCCAATGCCTCCCTGCTTGACACTCAGCATTAAGGGGTTGGATTGGGGGGTTAAACCACCAAATAGTTCCCGAGCGCGGCTTGTCTGCAGCTCACCGCTCCCCCAGGGGATGGGTCAAATGCAGAGAATAAATTTCACCACACACCTGTGTGTGTGTGTGACGACTAAATGGGACTTTAATCTTTAATCTCTTTTAATTTGTGACCCAGCAAATGTGATCACTTTTCTCTGTTAACCCATAATAAAGACATTAAAGAACCGAACTTCATGAATGTTTTTTGTGACAAAGAAGTATCTGTTCCAATCACTCTATCAGAGAAAAATCAGAGTTTTAGAAATAACGGGACACTCAGTAGAGCCATTATATTATATTTTTTACAAGTGTATGTAAACTTCTGACCACAACTGTGTATATATACATATATATATACACATATATATATATATATATATATATATATATATATATATATATATATATATATACATATATATATATATATACATATATACATATATATATATATACATATATACATATATATACATATATATATATACATATATATATATATATATATATATATATATATATATATATATATACATATATATATATATATATATATATATATACATATATATATATATATATATATATATATATATACATATACATATATGCTGCATCGTTCGTGTCAGCGCACACAGTAGGGTCGGGGAGGGGGGCATAAAGCTTAGCCTGGCGGGTGGGCAAGCAAAGCCTGGCGCGCCGCTAGGCTTATAAAGCCCTACACAGAGTACACTATACAGGTCAAGGGATGTTCAAGATGGGGTTTGTGTCATCTGACACCTGCACACACTGTACAAACAACATTCTTGAAAATTACATTCACACACTGTGGTCCTGTCCACCTGTCCAGGAATTTTGGGGTAGAGTATGTGAAGACCTGTCAAAGTGTCTGAAATGTCATATCCCAACTTCCCCCTCTCTTTGTTTACTGGGAAACCTGGACGATGTCCCGGTTGAAACATCTTTGGTTCATGTGGTTCTGACTGCCATATGCATCGCTAAGAAAACTATCCTCAAGAATTGAAAAAATAGAGATACTCTTTGTATCAACCAGTATAGAAATCTTTTCTTAGATCATATTACACTTGATACAGCCTCTAATTCCACTTCAAATCAATCTCTCTGGGCTCCTTTGATCGGTTCCATCACATAGCAGTGATGAGGGATCATTGATATTGTTCTGCGGGATGATGTGGGTGATGGGGTGGAGGGTCTGAGTTTGGAGTATCCGGACATTCCCTTGAGGTGGGTAGGGCTGCAACAAACGATTATTTGGATAATCGATTAATCGGATGGGGTCTTGACACGATTAATCGATTAATCGGATTACATGGGGGCATTTTTAAAAACTGCTAGGGAAACGTTATTTCTCTCCTTCCTTCACTTTATTTAACACAACATTATTAGAAAACAGTTCAATAGCAGAAAAACAACATGCCATCACCTAAATTGTCTTATAAGGTGTATAGACAGAGACCCTAAGCTACATCTATCTGTGACCTAAAATGCTTGGTCCAAGTTAAACAGCTTAAGGGCAATTCTCATCTGTTTTGTTTGATCTCATCTGTTGACAATTATTTTAAATGTAATTAAACATAGGCTGTGAATTAATCAAAATTGATCACTATTTCCAAAAATGACTGAAAAAATACCAAATAAAACAAAAGTAAATGAATGCCATCCTCCTTGCGATGATGCCCTGGGCAACTGCCATAAAGTCACATCAAGAAATGCTGCTGATCATTCCAATGATCCCAAATAGACTCACATTAGGCCACATGAAAGCAACTGAACCCAAAAATATATTAACCAGTATATAACTGCACTCTCACACAACACGCCTGCAGCAACAGTTAGGACTCCTCCCTCCCTTTTAAAAGCGTTTTTGCTTCTGAGGACATTGTGGTTGTAAAGCCACATGCTAGTAGTCTGGCCCCGGTGTGATCAACCAGTTTCTGCGGGAATGTGACGGCGGAACCAGGGCCAGATTAACACTTTGTTGTACCCTGGGCAACAATATTCAAGGGCTCCATCATCACGACCCAAGGATCACCATAATGTGGTCACATACAGAATATTTTACTGTAATATGCAGTAAATATACTCAATACTTGAATGCCTGACAACACGTAACCCGCCCAGAGTAACCTTTGACCCACCTCGTGTGGACTGACCAATGAGGAGAGGGTCTTAACTTGAGGCCCTCTCTTCATTGGTCAGTCTGCATGAGACTGACTCTCAACTGACATTCAGTCATAGGCAGCGAAGCGTCTCTGTGCAGCGCAAAAGCCCAGGTGGACAGTTTGTTTAATGTAGGGTGATCATATTTCCATTTCCAAACAAGAGGACAGGGGATCTGTGCCTATGACGTCACACTATGGCAACGCCACACAAACCATGTTGGGACCCATTTTTTGTAAGAACTAAATTAATATCAGATTCTGCCAATTAAAGGGCTCTAAAACAATTCATATGTAAATATTTTGCATATTTAATGCAAAATCTCATTTTTCTGCTTTAGTGCTGCAACAAGATTTTATTGATAAGAAATTATTATACCTTTTGTTTTACTACGGCATCGGTACGCTCCCTGTGCACAGATTATTAAGGATGCTTGTTTCAGCTGTGAGATTAGACGATAGGATCAATGAAAAAATAAGTTGTCACACACTCCATGGAAACTTTCAGAGAATCCACAAATAGTCGCTTTCAAATAGTTTTGTTACTTTTTGCAAGTTTAGAAAAGCAGCAGATGAGACAGCATGTCTGATAATTTAGTTTTTCATCTGATATATTAGAACATGTCAGTAATGTCTGAGGGGCTTTTATAAACACCATATAACTAACACTACTGGAGAGGGTATGAATTACACAGAGGCTTCTGGGGAGCCCAGTTATTTGGGGGGGGGGGGGGGGGGCATTTTGCCTTGGCCCCCAAAATGTCTTGAAACGGCCCTGGGTGTGTGACTGAGTTTTGAAGGTGATCTGAATTGTATCAGATGTATAAATATTACATGTGTAGAACTTATTGTTTTTTACAGGTAAAAATGTGTAATGGAGATAAATCTACCTACATTTGACTTTTCAACACTTTGTTTTGTTTTCTTGTTTTTATTTAACTATTTTCCTGTCCTGTCCGTCTCTCATCTTCCTGCATCTCCTCTTAATTCTCCAGAAAATCTGTTGCCTGGATTCTTACCTTTTCACCTCATCAGTTACTTTTGAGCAGATCAAAGGAATCTCCTGACCGAAAAGCGCAGAGCGCGTTTTCGATGCTGCGTGAGGTGACATCACCACAGCACAGGTGATGAGCTCCGCAGTAGCGCGCTTCAGGCACAAATAAGGCCGGGGACACACCGGCCGCGGAAGCGCCGCGAAAATGGGGTCGCCTTCATTCGGCGCCCTTGTTGAGCTATTCTATAGACCACATGGGCCGCCGAAGCGCCGCGAATCGCCTCGCGTCGGCGCGCCAGCCCGCGCCGTGCAGCGATCATTTCGGCGTCGGCTCTATTTTTTTCGCGAGCCGCGGGTGAATCGCGTCAATTCTGGCAGGAAGTCAAACCTAGACATAAGAGGCAGGCCGGTAAAGTTAACAAAATAAAGCATTTCAAAATAAAATTCCGCAATAGTCAAATGTGTTCGTAATCAGACACTGCAGAAAAACCACACGAACACACACACACATCGAACTTGTGTGCGTGTGTGACCACGTGAAGGGGTGTGTGGTTTTGGGTGTCTTTTCACCGGAGCAAACAGGACAGAGAGGCAGAAAGTCTGAGGCAAGCAGTTAAGATGGATGACTTTAAATTAATTATGGAAGTTGAGAAACACAAGGAGCTGTACGACCCCCGAAAAACATGATTATTTACGTACCCATTTAGGAAGAAACTGCTAGGATACAGCTGCAGAACTGGAGCGGGTTCCAAGAGATTCAACTGGCAGAAACAACTCATACCATAGGTTCACACACACACACACACACACACACACACACACACACACACACACACGCGCGCGCGCACACACGTAGAGGAAAATAGCTGAGAAAAGGCAGAGAGGAAATTGAGGACACCAAGTGTTTTAAAAGAAAAACTACAGCTGAGCCGAGGCGCGCCTCGACTGGGGCGCGTCTGATCTGAGCTGAGGAGCGGCGAGCAGCGGCCGAATTTCGTGAGCGATTCGCTTCTCGGCGCTTCGCGGCGCTTCCGCGGCCGGTTTGTCCCCGGCGTTGCTCTGCTCTGCGCGCAACGGCGGGCGGGAAGGGGGGGCGCTTTTGGAAGAGTTGTGCGACACAACGAATCGATGACGCAATTCGTTGCCAACGCTTTTAGTAATCGATTTTCATCAAATTTATCGATTCGTTGTTGCAGCCCTAGAGGTGGGTTCACTAGAGGTGTCTGGGACTGGGGGCTGCTGCCCCCCTCTGGAGGTGCTTGAGTTGCCTTGGGGGGTGGACTACTGGCGGTTGGGAGTGGGTTCCCTTGGGGGTCTTGGCGGTGGCCATGGGTGGCTGCCTGGCAGCTGCATTGCCCCTGAGCGGGTCTGGGTGGGGGCCTGGCGGCTCGGCGTGTGGGGGTGGCCGGCCCCGTGTGGGGATCTGGGCGGGGCCTTGGGGGTCGGGTCCTGACATGTATGCTGCCGGGAAGAAGGCAGGAGCATGTGGCAGTGCCTGGCCAGGGCTCAGGGGCCTCAGGTACACCTTGGCTCCACTGCTGTTCTGTCACAGAGGAGGGGGATGTCCAGGAGGGGGAGGACCCAACCTTACCTGGATGTCCTATGTCATATATTCTGGAAGTTGCGCAAATGCAGGGATGGGAGAAGATATTCTGCTGGGGTGGGGCTGGGTTGGTGCCCTTGGACTCCGTGAAGCTCTGTGATGCTGCTGCTTTGGGCCCTGGCAAGATGGGCTGGGGTCTCCATTCCCTGGGTGGCATTTAGGCAACAGAGGTGCCTATTGGGGCCAGTGGGGGAGCTGGCTCCCAGGGGGGCTTAAGTCCAACCAGCCATTCCTCCCCATCCCCACACATTTTTCTCCTCCTGCTCCCTCACATCATCACACAATCATGCACATAGGACCATGGGGGATGGACAAGTCAGGGGGTGCAAGTATGGACCCCATTTCCGCATTCCTGTGGCAACCTGCCCCCAATTTTATTTGTACCTTAAACACTTCCACCAATGACATTCCACGCAAACACACACTTAGGGCCTTGGGAGTGAGCACAATCAACGGCATTTGGCAGGGGGATTTCTCAGCCTCATCCCGAGTGCCAGTGCCCACTTCCAATTTTAAAGTGCACTTAGACACTGAAGGCTGTGGGTGCAAGTGGGGTAGTGTGGTGGCATCAGCTGGCATAGGCCAGACGATGCCCGCACTGCCCGCTCACCACAGCCATGGAATACACCTCATCAACACACACTAACACTATACTGGAGCAGGTGAAGGGAGACTAGGGGTCTTAGCACACCTCTGTTGTCGCTTGGCTTCCCGGGGCTGGAGGCTAGGAGGGAGATCTGGCCGTCTGGTTGGGGTTTGGGGTGGTGGGTTGCTGTGCTCAGCGTTGGGCGGGGGAGCCTGCTCATCAGCACCCCAGCAGAAGGGTTGAACTCTGGGAATGGGTAATGGTTGTACCCCATGTGCAGCAGTACCGGGACCAGAGTGAATAGGGTGTATATGGGGAGCATGAGTGGGTGTCCGGCATTCATTTTTGTAAGTCTTTGGTTGTATGTGTATGTGTGAGCATGAGGAAGGGAGTGTATGACTGTATATGTCAGTTGGGGCCTTTGACTCCTCCCTTCTCCTGGGACCTCTTTTGATGCAATACATCTTCGTCTCCCCTCCCCCTGCCACACCTGGTGTGGAGTGTGGTGCCTTGGTCTGACTGAGTGTTTGTGTCTCCTGGGTCAGGCGGTTTAAGATTTTTGGCGTCTGCCTGATCAATCCCGGTGGCTGCCTGGTGGGATCTGGGTCCCTGGGCTCTGCTGGGTCCCCGGCGGGGGTGGTCGCCTCTGGGCCCCGGGTTGCTGGGGGGTGGGAGACTGCGAGCGGGCCTGTGGGCTTGCCGCTGATATCTCCCGGGACTCTGCCGGCTGCTGGTTGTGGCCCCACCCGAGGCGATCCTCTGCGCCTCTTGAGGGGGGCAGGGGCTTTTCTGGTTACAGTCTCCTTGGGGTCCCTGTGCTCTGGGGCAGCTCTGGATCTCTGGGACTTGGAGCTCTCTCCATCTCCTACGCATCTTTGGGGGGCAGATCTGTGGCCCCTCACACTCTCTATTGGACGCTCCTATAGAGAAACCTTACATATACAAGTGCGTGTACACGCACAGGCGCTCACATGGTGCTCTCATAAGTATGGATTTGGGCACATTCAACACGTCTTAAGGCTGTGGTTGGCACTAAATGCACTGTGATTTATTATCGTGATTGTTCAGTAAAACAGTGTTGATTTTACATTTCTTCATCAAGTTGACGCAGTGATAGCTTGCTCCTGTTGTACTGTTGTGTGTCCATTTTCTGCAGGTCTAGAAGCAGATCCCTGTTCATCATTGATTGTTTATTTTCGTGTACACTGTATTAACTTTTCGAGACCCCGCGGATATCATGTACCTGTAGCTTCACCCTTAACAGCAGCTTCTCGGTGCTCCTCGGTAACCGTCAGGCTGCCAAAGCGTCTCCCATGGCAAATAGGACTGGTACGAGAAGGGTGTGGTGGCTGTGGTGGGAGGCGCGAAGGCTGCATTTCCTGTGAGAAACACAAAAAATATAATGTCTGATTATATATTTATTTTGTAACTTCACCTGGGGGTGTGTGTGTGTGTGTGTGTGTGTGTGTGTGTGTGTGTGTGTGTGTGTGTCTGTGTGTGTGTGTGTCTGTGTGTCTGTGTGTCTGTGTGTCTGTGTGTGTGTGTGTGTGTGTGTGTGTGTGTGTGTGTGTGTGTGTGTGTGTGTGTGTGTGTGTGTGTGTGTGTGTGTGACCCACATGACTGAAGAGCTCATTGGTCAACCCCAGATAATTGTGCAAGGCCAAGACCGTAACTCTTTGAAGACGAACCATGATAATCTGAGCAGATACATTAAAAAAAAAAGTTAGCATATTAAAACTTAAACAGCTGCTCAGATACATGAAAATGAGGAAAAACTCACCTGAACAACTCGCACTAGGCTCTCAGGATACTTCTCAAATATGGACAGGAAGGCCTCTACAGGTAAACGAAGAACAGTGGAAACCTCTGCAGCTCGTGCGGACACCGTTCGGTAAGGCTTCTGGTGGCCCTGCACACATACACACACACACATCCTCTTTGCTCAAACACAATTGCCAACTCTCCCTGAAAACTGCAGAAGTGTGATTATGTGTGTGCATGTGCGTGCGTGTAGATCTGTGAGTGACACACAAAGCGACCTACCGTTATGACATCCAGAATGCTGAGAAGACTATGGACACTATCTCCAGCATAAACCTCCTTCACAACGCTTTCTTTTCCATCCTGAAGGACAAATATGAAGATTGGTTTAGAAACCAAGCAGCCCATGCAGAAATCATATAAGATTAAAGAGCCCAAATATTTGAATCCTGGGAGATTAAACAGCAGTTGAAATTTAGGTCGTCTTTCCCAGTTTAACAATGTTCTTAAGTTAAGACAGAACACGACGAATGGGGACTAAAGTGGTGCAGCCTTACCGCTCCAGTAAGGCACAGTTCTAGTTTGCCATCCTGAACCACGTAGATGCTGCTGTCAGGCTGGCCCGGCCTGAAGACGTACTCCCCCTGCTGGAACTGCAGAAAGACCATGTGCTTGCACAGCTCCAGGAAGAGGGGCTTCTCAAAGTGACCCAGAACGCTACGGTACAAACCAGGAAAACATCAGGATGACCAGCACGTGAAAACAAAACTATACTTAACACATTGGCCCTGCCCCAAAAACCTACCGAACATTTTTGAGCATGTAGAGCACCTCGGAGGGAAGGTGGGAATTAGCCACATCGAATTCTGTGAGGTCAGCTTCTAGCACAGAAGGGGGGGGCTCCTTAGCTTGAAGGATGGGCACCTCCTTCTTAAAGCGCAGGATCCTACAGGAGACGGAGAAAAAATGGCAGAGAAATGTAAAAAAAAAAGAAAAGAAAGGAAAAGAAGAGATGGCTGACAGTTGCTGGGAGTGAGCATTACTTTTTGGCAATGTTGAGCATCTTCTGCTTCTTCTTTAAGCGTGGACGCGAGGAGGACGACGTGCCCACCAGAGAAGAGGTGGACTGAGACACCTGAAGAGAAGTTGGTGTACATGTGTGAGGAGCAGCTATTAGAAAAGGTGTTTGTAATGATATTCGTTTCCAACCACCCACTTACTTTCCGCATTATCTTTCGCCCGTAGAACATGACCTTGTCCCTCTTGCGAAAGCGGTACTTGGGTGCCTCCTGAGCCTCTAAGATTTTTAAATCAGGTGAATTTTCAAAATAAATAAGCAGTTTTATGTTATTCGTTCACTATTCAGGCTAAGCAACACATCTCAGGGATTACTGACTTCGAAGCTTGATCCTTCGCAAGATGAAGAAGATGATGATGGCGATGAGGATGATGGCGATCCCTGCACCAATCACCATCCCCACCATCTGCAGACGGAACCGACAAAAGGAACAATATGAGAAAAAGGACAAGTTTGCAATCGCCCAAGTGTTTTAAAATACTTGTATATATGAAACGCTGATGTGAAATTAAACCTTGATACAAGATGTTTTATGCGTCGTCTGTAGGAATAAATCTCACCATGCTCGTCTGTAGTTCTTCCTCCACAACTGTCTTTAGGTTTTCAAATCTTTCCTAAAATAGTGAATGAATTGCAGACATGTTATCAATACAAAATAGAAAAAGAACAAAGAATAGATCTGAAGACTTAAAGGGATACTAAACTGTTTTACTTGCTTTTAGCATCCCCTAGTGTCCGTTATTAATCCCGTGGCCAAACCGAAAATGAAACCTATCTCCTTGAGAAACGACTGCAAAACGTACCACGCAGCAATTATCCGCCATTATAGCGGACGAGTTCCTTTCCACCGGCAGCAGAGTGTAACGTTTTGGGCATGTTTCAGAAGAAAAGGAACCCCATCGCAAAGTACGTTGCGCTCTATGATGATGCCAACGCCAAAACGAACAACACAAAGAGTAGACTCACCTCTTACATCAGGAAGAATCCGCGCGTTTCGAGCATTATCCGTTCTTTCATAATCCATTGTTGAATTGTGATCAGCAGAAGCTTTTCCGGTTTGCACTTCACTTTTTTTACAGCAGCGGCTCAAAACGATCTCCTAACACATTAATTTTCTGCTTTCTGATTACGTGACGTGTGACGTACGTGGATGAAAATTGGCTTTAGAGCTGGGATATTTGTTCTAATGGAGCGGGGGCTCGTTCAGACGCCCACACAGTAAAAAATGCAAATGACGACTAAAGTCATTTTTTGGGCTTTTTTTTATTGGCAGGGAACGGTTGGGTTTAAAATGACGACTTCTGTTGTTAATGGCAGTTAATGAGTTAAGTATCGATATAATACCGCTTAAAAAATATATCACGATATATTGCAATATCGATATTTTCTTACATCCCTACTTTTTTTTATAAATACCCATCTCTATGAGCCCCACCTAGGTGTGTTAAATCTTCCCACAATTGAACTGTGCTCGAACCAGTAGAAACCAGGCTAAACTGGCAAAAACAGCCTCCGTCGCCACTTTTCCTCTCCATTCAATAATCCTGTAAATCACTGTTGCCCCACTTAGCTACTCTCGATAACTTAACTGCTCTTGAACTAGTTGAAACCATGATATTCACAAATCACGACAACAACAAAACACAAAAAACTATCTCAGACAAAATCTTTCCCTTTGTTTAGTGCTGGTGTCGCTCACTGTTTACATGCTTTGCCCTCCAGTGGGGTGGACCCACGTGATTAGGTGACATTGGTGCAAAGTAGGGCTAAAAATAAAATCTCCGATTAATTTTTTTTTCCAATTCTCTCTCCCCCTCTATTATTAAGAATAGCAATAAGTACAAATGGAAGGCACCTTAAATCCAATTTTATTTTTTATGTAATCACAAGCAAGACAAATGTAACCCGAATTTCTGAGATGAATAATGAATAAATGAACACCCTCTTGGAATAAAAGTGCCACGCTCCACGTCTGTCGCAGCAAACCTAAACCAGTTCTAAACGATGGCTGATTTAATTTCTTTCTTAGGAACAAACTTCCCACCATCACCGGAGGCCATGGAGTCACTAGCTGTTGCTGTATCGTGTGTGTGCTGTGACGTTGTTGTCGCGGTTATGTGAAACTAACACTACGGAAGCTCCGGGGGGCCAAAAAGGCACTATTCTATAAAAATTTGATTTACTTTTTTTTTAATCGCCCGCAATAAAACATTCAAATTAATTCATTAAATTGATTTATCACCCAGGCCTAGTGCAAAGGATTAATAACATTACTACTTCACATAGGAAAGCAGGTTGGAGACGACAGGCTCCTACACAAAGTGTGTGTGTGTGTTTGGAAGGCAAACCATCAGATCTGGTGCTATAAGAGCAATGGGCTTCCAGAGCTTTGGCCGACCGCCACAAGATCTACACTTCATCATATCAGTAGTTATTGATTAGACTCTGACTATCTAACGGTTATTTGGCAGTGAATGGGTTGAAGTTGGACAAAGGTAAGAGAGGCAGTAAAAGACGAAGGGTGCAGCACAACTCTGCTGAAGGTGCACACGCACGCACAACTTCACAGGATAAATTTGGTTTGAGAAAAACCGAACAGATAATTGGGTTTCCACCCAACTGTGAATGATGCACCAGAGGACTTTATTACAAAGTCAGATTAACGGCTTAGCCAGCCATGTTAAGCTAAAAGTCAGCGGTTTCTGTATCACAAAGGAGAGTGTGATTAAATCACCTTGACAACACGGGCTAGAGTTCACGTCAATTGTGCGTCCTCCTGCCAGGTCATTCATTGCTTTTGTATCAGCACCAAGTTAATAAGGAGGGGAAAAGATCAGACATCCAAACGCACCTGTGAAGGGTAGTCTCGGTCCTCTTGCTCCGAGGTACTTTGTCCCATTGTAACCCTGTGTCTTCATAGGGATGGTCCATCAACGGCCACTAAAGACATTCAAATTACATTATCCATTTATCAAGTGTGAATATTCAGGTTTATTCATGCAACTTGGTGAAGAAAGAAAAAGATGGGGTTTTTTGCTGTTTCCATGGACACGTGTGGAACAAACATGTGGAACATAACATGGCACAACACACTCCTCTCACACGTCGAGGCTTGAACAGGAATAGTGAGGCTACAGATCCCAACCCACCTTTTAGGTGCCCAACAGGTACATTTCCTATGGTTTATTCAGCTAGACCAGGGGTTGGCAACCTGTTCCCATCAAAAAGCCATTATTACCCGTTTCCCACAGTAAAGAAAACACTGGGAGCCACAGCAGCTGCGGCGTTGTGGGCAGGGACTACCCTCAGACAGCAGAGAGCTGCTTTAACCAATCACAACAGGTGACAGCAGCCAGTACCGGTCGCTCGTGTACGTCAAAGTTATCTTTCATAAGACGATAATCAATAAAACGATTTATATAAAGTGGATCCAGAAGTTGTAGCCCGTCTCTGCCTACAATATTTGATATTGATATTTTTTTTGGTCATACGTTTCTTTTTAAAACATGTTTAGACTGTTCAGAATACAAATCCAGGCTCTGTCATGTTTGATTGTTGTAATTAAACTTTGTAGGTGGGGAAGGTCAGAAAAGGATCCGATCAATTTGTTTTTCCCTCATTTACAGTGACGGAGATAACGGCGCAGTGCTCCTGGCTCTGGTGTTAATCAAGTTAAATTATATCTTTTTGCAACAATTTTCACAAGAAAACAGAACAGTTAAAAGCAGGGCTTGTGTTGACCGGATAGTTCCCGTATTTGACCGTTTATTTTGATGGAGAAAGAATAGAAAGAATTACCCCGACGCATGCAGACGAACTGACATTTTATTCGTTTCGCACATCGCAGATGTAGCTAAATCACTCAAGAAAAGATTCCCATCTGAACATCTGAGCTGGACACTGCTCACTGTCAGCGTGTACTACATAAGGTCCACAGCGAGCTGAAGATGTGGAGAGGGGCTTGGAGCGCGTCGCAGAACCAGAGCGCATGCAGGATGATTCCTCCGACTGAAGCGAGACTTGTCACTTAGAAAATGTTCCCTGATTATGAAACTTTGGCTGAATTGTGCTTGTTCCTGTCTCCAATGTGGCGACACATCCAGGAACCTGTCTGAGGAGAATCCCAGAACCTCACATCCTCTTCAGCTCAGAAAGCGCCGATATGATTAAGCACAAGCGTGACCCGTCAACCCGGTCTCACAGTAAGACCAGGTTGGAACTGTTCAGGTTTACGCAGACAATCTTTACATTTAGAATTGGCATACAGATGTAAAATAATGCAGTAAAATATAAAGCATTTTATTTAAATATCCATTCATTATTTTACAAGCACAGAGAGTCGCATCAGATGGATGGAAGAGCCGCATGCTGCTCAAGAGCCGCGGGTTGCCGACCCCCGAGCTAGACCAATGTAATAAAAATGAACTTGTCATCTGTTGTATAATTGCTTTATACAAGTTATTGATCACTACTGTTTGTCAATCACACTTATCATGAGGATGTAATCAAGGAGAGCCGAACATAATGTGATCATGAGGATGTAATCAAGGTAATCCTGGTGGAGGTGTGCAGCTTTGCACGCACATCAGGGAATGTATAAGGAGCAGAGCAGAGCTCAGAGCTGTTAGAGCTGTTTGAAGGATTCTATTTGACGAGGTTCATGGATTACGTTTTCTAACTGGGGTGTTCAGCTCTCCACCCATAAGCAACGGTAAGAGAAATGTTTTGTTCATGATTGATAACTTGTATGAATGCTGGTTGAATAAAGCCTTGTTGTTCCTCTAATATTCAAGTTGTGTTTCATTGTTTCTGGCGTCGACTTGACAACGATCCTGATTAAATAAATATAAAGTGTAAAAAGAGACTTTGAGTCTTTTAAGGTAATTAAAATAAAATAAAACATTTTATTTTAGAACATTTTTGGCGTCACGAACAGGATCAGTCAAGCTATTCCAGCAACAATGAAGTGTTTTTGGAGAAGCAAAAAGGAGCCGAGTGCTTCTGGGGAGGGAACGCCGATTCCCGTGCCGATTCCCGGCTGGGAAACGGAGGAGTTCCGATCCATTGGTGATATGTTAAGGCAGCGCGGTGGACGCCCTGGGCCGTGGGGAGAGTTAAATGGAGTGGTCAGCCCCGCCGTGGTGCTGGACCGTTTGACGCGGATAGAAGTTAAAAAAAAAGCGCCGCTGGCAGGAGTGAGAGATATGATGTGGCTTTTTGCAGAAGCATGGAAAAAACAGGAGTTAGAATTGAGCAGTTGTAGAGAGCGAGCGGCGCAGGAGAAAATCCATGCTGAAGAAGTTGAGAAATCATGCTCAGAGTTTGAGCAGAGAGTGTGTGTGATGGGGAAAGAGCTAAAGCATGCTCAGAATGTTTTGGATAAAACGCTGACTTTTGTGTCTCGAGCGCAAAGGAAGGAAAAGAAGCGACCTCGTAGAACAGGTCCTGCTCAGATCCGGGCGTTTGTAAAGAATGTTGGTGAAGATTGGGACCCGCAGAAATGGAACGGGGATCTTTGGGGGGATGATGAGGAGGAGGAGTGGGTGATTAAACCTGACCCACCACCTCAGCCCTTGTATCCATCATTACAGAGGATAAAGATGTCAGAACAAAGACCTATTACTAGGCGTCGGCGAGAACAGCAAATTATTCCACCAATACTGGTAGATATGGTGGATGATCAGGGACGGCCGGAACTCGATGAGGCGGGTAATATAAGAAGGATGTTACAACAGCAGCCACAACCCGCCCCTAGGCTGCTAACAACGCTAGAGGATTATTCACAAGATGAGTTAAATCACATGAATGGGAAGCTGAAACAGCGCCCAGGCGAACCAACTGACTCCTGGCTTAATCGCCTTATGGAGGATGGCGCGTGTGATATAGCCATAGATGCCGGTGATGCCATGAGATTTTCAGGATTAAGTACTGATGCACAGATAAATGCTGAATACAGGGCTACAGTCCGGGCATTGCCAGCTGATGAAGATTTCAATGTGGGGGATGCATATGCTCTGGCATGTCATGTAATCTATCCTACCACGGCGGACTGGTCTGAGATTAAAGGGCAATGGCAGACAGTGAGAGATGCCATTCAGCGGCTCACCAGACTCACTATTAGAGAGCAAGTGGCTCGAAACGGGGGAGCTGGAGTGGTGGACTGTAACATCTCTAAGGCAACTAGAGATCACCTCATCAGACATGCCCCACCACATTATAAACCCATGGTGACCAGCTTGTTGTTTGGCGCGGCAGACCAGACTTTTGCCGCGATAAAAGATCGTCTTGGCGAACTCACCACGCTGGGTGATTGGTCTGAGACGAGGAGAGAGGGAGCTAGAACTGAAAATAAACCCAGGATTGATCCACATTCAAGGGGTCGTAAAGGGGGGGCAATGGGCCCCTCTAGAACAGATCTGTGGAGGGCACTGCGACAAGCGGGAGTGCCGTTTGAGGAGATTGATGGATTGCCCACTAATGCATTGATGGAGAAATGCAGCCAAATGGGACTGAAGGTCCATTGTCAGTTCAGACATTGTCCTGAAAAGGACGACAGGATGTCTGTGTCAGAATTGGTTGGAATGTTGCAGAATGTGATCAGGGAGGTGGCGTCGAAGCCTGCTGAACCTTCCGCCCCTCCCAAGGAATCTTCAGAGGAGGAGAGTTCAGATGAGTGTTATCAGGTGGCGGCAGTGAAGCGTAGAAAGAAAAAACAGCACCGAAGGGAACATGATGATGAATAGGATGAAGGTCAAGCTCAGGTTGTTGCCAGTGCCTCAGGATGGTCAATAAATGATATCAGACCACATGTGGAATTACAGATTTATTGGAAAAAATCAGTACAGACAGTAATGGCATTGGTTGACACTGGGGCGGAGGCCTCGGTAATTCATGGCAATCCTGATAAAATAAAGGGAAACATTGTAGAAAAAGGAGTATCAATGCTCCACGAGCAAGTGGCAGACGTTCCAGAAATGGATGAAGTGCCTTTTGAGGTAAAACCAATCCAGGATTCTCCTGTGAAACTGGGGGTAAGATGGAGCGAACTCACCCCAGAGCAGCAGGAGCGAGCCTGGTTCACTGATGGTTCCTGTCAATATGTGGCAGGAACCAGGAAATGGAAGGCTGGGGCATTTAACCCTGGTACACAACAAGTTATGGAACTCACAGGGACAGGAAAGAGTAGTCAATGGGCGGAGTTGAAAGTAGTACACATGGTAATAATGACGGCTGGGGTGCAGGGAGTAAGTATTTATACTGACTCCTGGTCAGTAGCCCAAGGAATGTTAACTTGGATGCCAACTTGGCATGCTACACAATGGAAGATACATTCAAAAGAGGTTTGGGGAGCTGACCTATGGAAGGACATTTGGGAGAAATGCCAAAATATTCCTGTGTCAGTATTACATGTGGATGCTCATACTAATAACAATGATCCTGAATCCCTGCATAATCAGACTGTAGATAAGATAGTGAAAATTCAGGCTGTAAGACAATCAAGTCCTGGATTAGCCAAATGGGCTCACGTTACTGCTGGACATTGGGGTGTGCAGGGAACATTGAAATGGGCGAGGGACAGAGGAATAGATCTCATCATTGATGATATTAAAACTGCCATAGAAGATTGTGAACCTTGTCAACATCAGAAAAAGAGAATCCCTCGACATATACAGGGACAGATACATCGAGGTAAACAAGCGGGACAGTGTTGGCAGATTGATTTCATTGGACCATTGCCAAAAAGTAAAAACTGTAAGTATGCATGCACAGCCGTGGATACGGTGTCAGGGGTACTGGTGGTGCATCCGTGTCATAACGCCAATCAGGAGGCTACATTGAAATGTCTGTCATTAATAGAGACCTATTATGGACTACCTTTGCAGGTTCAGACTGATAATGGTACCCATTTCACTGGAAATAAGGTCAAAGAATGGGCAGAG